CTAAGGTAAAACATTTGGTGTGCGGTCTCATGATTTCACGACACCTTCACAACAGTATCTTTCTTTCTCATACGGCGTCTGGAAGTGGAGGTCTCCACGGGGGGGAGTCGACTTGCCCCCGGCCGGGCACGGTTGTCTCGAACCCCCGGCCGGGCACGGTTGTCTCGAACCCCCGGCCGGGCACGGTTGTCTCGAACCCTCGGCCGGGCGCAGATTAAAGAATAGTCCGTCTGCCATCATTCTACGAAAATTTATGGAAATAGCGCCGCTCTGAGCACAGCTGGCGTGCGAAAGGGATCAGAATTAGTCCACACCTTCAGACCTGCCTTCCTGATATGCCCCCAGCGCGCGCATTAGGACGAAACGCCACGCTGTGAGCATAGAATAGGCGCGTATCATTGAGGCTTTACGACGCACTCAGCCTGTCGATAAGCGTGTCAAATAGGCGTGTTAATACATTTTCTGATATCAATGGTGATTTCAAAACATCCCCCTCGGCCATCGGCCATGCTCAGTGATGACCGTGACCATCGGTGACCTTCAGGTTCTCCTGCTGGCTTTTAGCGATGGTCCTCGGACCCTCCGGCTATCAGCGTTGCAGCAGCAGTTGCAGCAGACCCTGTGAGTGTAGCTGACATTTTCCTAACCACAATTTCCCTGTATATTTCGCAAGGGGAAATTGTTTTTCTTCACTTCAATGCCTTCTTGTGTGTTTCACGGGACAGGTTCTATTCCTTCAGGTCAAAAAGGTGACCCAACTTCCCTTCCTTCCCAACTGACTGAATGGACTGGGTAAGGACTGGACTTGATGACTGGGCTGGATGAAGACTGGATTGGATGAAGGCTGTACAGTACGAGGTTCCACAGATGACCTAATATCGATGATATTAGCTATGGGTTAGTGTCGCCATACATCGATCTTCATCCACACAAGACACGAGCCGCCCATCTCCGCAAAGCCCGCCAACTTTGCATGGCAACTCATCGAGACAGTGACAAGCATCTGACAGTCCAACTGACGGGAGAGCTGAAAGCCGTTCAGAAACCCGGCAAACTCTGCTAAGACGTTGGTATATTTTCACTTTAAAACATCAATGATACAGTAGCGGCCGCCGCATCAGTGATGAGTCACACGGAGCACCTCCGGTCGGGCAGTCGGCCAGCTGCCCGGCCACGGCCAGTGACCGCTGCCGCGCCGGAGGCCCCGATGGGCGGCGGGCGGGACCTGGTCAGCCCGGGGACCGGGTGGGGGGCTGCCGGGGCGTCGGGGAGCGTCGTCCACCGGCCGCCGGCGGCATCGAAGGCCGGACCGAGCGTCGCGCTTCGGACCTCACCGGGTCGACAGCCGTTCGGTCCTGTTTAGCCACCCCGCCCATCGGGCTAACCAAACTACTAAGCTCTAAAAAATCAACCGCCACTCATAAGTAGATCACGCACTGAACCAATGACTTGGGGCGTCGAAATCAGTGTTGTATGATAGCACAACGTCATCGAGTGGATGTCACATAAACATTCGCCCACAATCTGGTCTCAAACGCACCAACCATCGCAGGGCCGGCTTTGAAGCGTATTTTCGTACACCAGATAAATGGAATGTGAACGTCGAATGCCGGCGGGCCGCAGCTAACACGAAACGCTCTTGCCCGTCCGACACCCTGCACCTGGAAGATGATGGCCGTTACAAAACTAGCATCACCGCCGGTGGTGGCGGCGCTGATGGCCGCGAGTGCGGCGCGGCCCGTCGCGAGCCGGGGTCGCCGGCGAGGTAGCCACAAGGCGCGCGCGGACCGGCGCGGCGCGGGGGCGGCCGGGGGCAGCCGGCGGCAGTGGGCAGCTCGGCTCGGCTGGGCCGGCGCTACACGTCCGAGGAGGAGCGGCGCGACTTGCGCCGCCGCCGCGCCAGCTCCGACAGCGCCACCGGACCCAGGTTGGGCGTGTGCGCGCTCTGGTTGATGGCCCGGTACGTGGCTGTGATGGCCGCCTGCCGGCGGACGTGGGACGGTGACGTCAGATCGGGACGGTGACAGCAGCGCGCACCACACTGGCGACGGTGCCACCGGGGCGCAGCAGCGCCGGCAAACACAGGGCGGGCACCGCGCGCGACCACGCCCGTAATGCGACTATGCGTTCCCCGAAATACGGCTCAAACACAGCTGCCTGGAAGACAGCCCAGTCGCTCCGGCCAACCTGTCCGTGAAACACAACACGACGCCGCTGGGGGATCCCTGCAAAAACGCCGGCTGCAGCGAACGGCTCGCCGTCTAATGCAAGCCAAGCATCCCGGCTAGCTTGGAGCCAAGCTGCCGAGTCCTGATGCGCAGAAGGTGCTCAGACTGCGCACGGCGCGACACCTGGGCAGCTGAAAATAGGCCGGCCCAGCGCAGCATGATATCGACCGGAGC